CAACAAATACCTGGATGTTCCCCATGCACCTACACAGTGCCATTATCAAACTTCCTTCTCACAGTCGTACTTGGTGGTACATTCCATTTGTCCTGTGTTTAGAGTGTGTTGGATTTTGGTGTTTGAAGGTCACTGAGGGTTTTTTTCTTTTTTATTGACAATCATCTCCTGTAAAATGTCTTCCACAGATTCCTTCCTCAGTGAGAAACCCAAATCTATCTCAGTTGATCTCCTCTTTGAAACTTCTGCCTTCAAAGAACCTGATGTCCATGCCCTTTCAGCTGACCACATTCAAGACTGTAATATTGAGCCCAAAGATACAAAACTCTGTCCTTACCTGGTCATTGAGGGCAGTAGGGAAAGTCTGGGTAATCCTAACCAGGAACACTCAAGAGGTGGTCTCACCCAGACCGAAGCTGATAAATTATGTTCTTCCAAAGGGCCAGCAGACCACTTGTCAGGTCCTACAGATCAATGTAATGGTGGCAGTAGCTCACTTAGTGAAGTAAGTCATAGAGAATTAAGCCAGTTGGAAGCCCCTAAAAAGAACATTCTAACAGCCAAGGCAGCCACGTATTCCTTGACATCCTCTTCTTCCTTATCTTCAGGAACTATCACCAAATTCTCTCCTAGAATGACTCTGCCAGACCAGAAGAGTCAAGTGTCCCTCCAGGACAGTGCTCTCTCTCGCCTTATTGACGCCGTCTCACTAGAGAACGAGTATGACACCTGTGGGTCCATATCTGCTCTGATTGGCCAATTTGAGCTCACTGCTGAGCAGAGCTCCCTAATTCCATTCAACTCACAACCCATGAAAAATTATATTCCTCCATCTGACCTTCCTCATCTCAACACTGAGCTTTCCAGCACACCACTAAAAGTTATCCAAAAATCTGTGTGCGTAACCTCAGAGTTAACCGAGAGACCTTCTAGTCCTGAAACGACTGAACCTGCAGTCTTTACCATCTTGGATGAGGAGGTGCTTTCTCCTGTACCTACAAAGAGTCTTTGTCAAACCAACTTTCATAATGACTTGGTTGGTTCTCCTGTGGTCAGCAAGAGATCCTCACCCAACAAGATGGCTTTAGAATGGTCTGCACGTGGAAATCTAAAGCAAAACTATAGCAGCGAATGCCATTCCACTGGTTCCTTTAGAAACTTTGAATTTGGAGGATACAGAGAAACTTCAATCAATAGCACCCCCTCAGACCGCTTCTTGCTGTGCCAAGACTCTGCAAGCAGCAGTCTGATGGAGGTGGAGATCAATGTAGACGGGGATCCCTTAGACAACACACCGACCCCTTTGAGTCCCTTTCATGGGTTCAAAAGTGTTCACAGCTTAAACCAGACCTCCCCCTATTATGTACAAAGACTTGAACCAACCCATCTCCACAAACCCTCACACAATCCCTCTCCTCTTCACTCATACTCCACAGACACATCACTCTTTCACAGACACTACCAATCTCCACACCAAAGTCTAAACTCTAGCACCTACCTTACTAACAAATTGCAGCGAAGGAAGTTTAACTGTTATAATGACTCCGGGAGATTTACACTTGGTGACCACAAAATAGATGACACAGAGGGAAGGCACCAGGAGACAAGAGACCAAAACTGCTTGGTCAGCAGGGCAGAGCATATACACAAAAGCTCTTTGACCTCAGAATGTCTTGCAGAGACTCAATGCTGTCATAATTTGTTAAAGAGGGACTTGTACACACCTGTATCAGACTACAACATGATTTCAGTTGAATCGCAAGACTCTTATACCCAGCCATCTTCACACAATCAGGCCTTTCCTGTACCTCCTCCTCAGCTGTACAATGGACTCTCTCCAGCTTCCTCCAAGTCCAAGAGCCTGGGAGACCTGACCTCTGAGGACATTTCATGTAACTTTCAGAGCAAGTACAAGTCAATCAGCCGAAGTTTTGTCACTCCTGCAATGAAAGACCAAAGACGGATCTGTGGGTTGTCTGGTCGTCCGAAGTCCACTGATCCCTTAACTGAGCAGCTTCGCAAGCTTGTAACGTTGGAAAATGAAGACTATGCGCGCCCCCTCCCCTCTTGTTCACAACTCATCCCAAAACCCCTTTCAGTGCTCCCTCTGGTTTCTCAGAGCTCTGCCGATGATCCTGAAGACCCTCCACCATTTCTGTCAAGGCGACTGTCGTCCCGCAGTCAAAGTCGTGTACGTCATATAGCCAATCGCGCACGTGAGAGACAGCAGGAGGCTTTCAAACACCGGCCTGTTGAGGGTGCCATGGAAGTAGTACTCCGTAATAAACCAGTCTCCTCCCAAAATCCTCCACCGAACAGGCATTCTACAGGCTCCTATATCGCTGGTTACCTGGACCAGCTGGGTCCTGAGGCCCGAGGCTTGCCTGAAGGAGCCTGCACCTCACTACGCTATGGATACGGAGATCGCTACTATAATGATGATTCTGTACTCCCTCCTGACTTCTCCAACTCATCAGAACCTGAGGTCTTCTTCCTACTTAGGCTTTGACCTTGCATCTCACCTGCTGTTTTTGACTGTGCATGTATTTCCTAGTAACAGTTGCAACTGTTGCAAATGTAGCAGGACACTTCCAGAACTGTGTACATATTCCATATAACACGGTCTCCTACTTGTGCTACTCCTGCTGTATTAAACGTATTATTTTATATACATGTGGTCCCTGTCATGCTTGGAAAAAAAAAATTGTTTAAAATGTGTGCTGTCTCAAGGTTTAAAAAAAGAAGTAAATAATTGAATTGGATATTTCTTGCAGACATTTTCTTTTTGTTGTTGTTGTCAGCTATTTGTTCTTTTTTAAACTATGTAGTACAACAAAGTCATGAAGGGGCTTCTCTTTTTATTCAGTCTTCCTGCATATTATGTTATTTGTATGTCTGTGTAGTTTGTACATATGTTGGTAAATTTATCCTCAGTCAAAGCACTATTGGTTTTCATTTAAATTTTAACTACTGTGATGTTTTTTCTTTAGCATGTGAACCGTGAACATTTTCAGCATGACTATGCACAGACCTGTAGATGCTGTGCTCTAATTTTGCACAGAATGATTCTGTTGTATTGAATGCAATACAACACATTTACCTGCTTGCTCTGACTTGCTTGCTTTCTATTAGTCATGGATTTAAAGAAGTTTGAAACTCTTCTTCATATTCTAAAGCTGTATGGTTAAAGTTTTATTTTTATAATTGCTTTGATACAGAGAGCAAAAATAACATTTGTTAGACTTAATATTTAGTTTTATTTTTAAAGAGACAAAAAAAAAAACAAAGCTTTTTTTCAACTCCTCTGTGCTTAAAGATATCTAGTCTGTTGTTCTTTTTATTGTTGCTCATCCAAGATGAGTGTAAGCATTTTCCTACCAATGCAATAAAATTATGAAATGTTTG